ATCAAATTTGAATTTACAAAGAGACAAATAATAATAATAATAATAATAATAATCATAGTTTTAAGGTACACATTTCAAACGGTTCACATGTGAGTAAAAAATAATAAAATAAAATAAAATAAAAATTTTTTTAAAATGAGATGCACGATAAAAATTCATTTTTTGGTATACATTTGGAGACTTTTCCCTCTCTTTCTTTGTACAATAATTTAAAAATCTTACTACATGATAAACAACAATAATAATAACAAAATTCTCTGTTGTGTGTGTGTTGTTTTGTGTGTTACAAAGTTTCATTTTACAAAAGAAAAGAAAAAAGGGAAATAGAAAAAAAGAAAAAAAAAACTTTTGATAAATTTCATTGAAACCTGTCTGCCTGGCTTTACCTGTGGCTAACCCAACTTATTTCTCCCTTTTTTTTTTTTTTAAAAAAAAATTCCATTAAATTTTTTTTTCTTTTCTTTTCTTTTATACTTCATTTTGTTTTTCTTCTTCTTTTTATAGTTAGCGTTCGAAAAAAGAGAACGAACGTTTGCATTCAAAAAATTTCACGACCATTTTATTTAAATACTTTTTTTTTTTTTTTGGTCGATCTAGACTTTCACCCATCGACTGAATTTGAGAGATCATTTCAAAATTTCCTGAGAGATTTTATTAAATAAATAAATAGAAAAAAATATCAAATTTTTTTTTTTTAATGTTTTGAGTGAGAGAGAGAAAAAAAACTGGTCGTGACAACGTTTACATAAGCAAATCGTAATTCTTTGGAACGAAAACGAAAAAAAAAAAAACCCTTAATTTAAAATTGGCACGAATCAAAAAATGACTCGAATGATTTCATATAAAAAACTTTCACAAAAAACAAGAAAGTTCTCCCCCACTGACAATATTAGTAGTAGTTGTAATATAAATACAAATAATAATAATAATACAAGTGTTTACATCTGGTGTTACAAAATAAATAATAACAAAAAAAAAAAAAAAGAAAAGAAAAGAAAATTTTGAAAGAACTTTCTAGTTGTGATTTCCTTCATATTATTTTCATTCCATTGCAATGTCACACACACACCGCCGTAACATTACATTACGGAATGATAATAATAATTATAATAATAAAAAACAAAAAAAATTACGGCTTAGCTTATGCAATTGTAACGTTGCTCAATTTTTGAACGCTTTGAAGTTTAAAAAGAAAAACAATTTGTAAAACACAAAACACAATCGTCGATCGAGAAAACGATTTTCAAAATAAACAAAAAACATTTTCTCCATCTTTGAAATAAAAACATATATCATTTTAAATATCAATAATATTAATAATAATAATAGAGACGAAAAATAAAAGAAAAAGAAAAAATCACAAATATAAAATATTCTGATTGAAACAACAAATAAACAGAAAAAAATTTCAATTTTCTTAACGCACAAAAAAATTATTATTATTATTAATCACATTAATAATAACGATTTTTTTTTATCATCATTATTATCGTATTGTTTTTGTTGTTGTTGTTCTTCATCGTTTTAAATATGCCAACTTTAAAAAAAAAAAAAAATGTATAAACAACCTGACGATTTTTTTTTCTCAAAATAATACAATTTATAAATAAAAATAAATAAAATTCGATTAAAATTTTGTTTACAACGTTGCCGATTTTCTGTTTGTTTATTTTTGTCAGGGAAAAATTTTTCCTTATTCCTTTCTGTTCCTTTTTTTTTATTTTCTCTATTCATCAATTTTCTTTCTTTCTCTCTAACGTACGTAAAAATCATTATTGACAACAAAAAAAAAAATTTTTCCCTCACATAAAAAAAACATCGGCTTTGTTGTTGTTATTGATTTGTTTACATTTTCCAAAATACTACATAACATTAAATAAAAATAATAATAATAATCAATTTTAAATAAAAAAATTTTTACCCAGGAAACTTCCCCTGGAATCGTACATATATATCTATATATATAAATATTTATGCAATTTTTAACGTGATTTAGTCGCCGATTAAATAATAATAATGATACAAATTATTAAAAAAAAAAAAAAAAAAATTTGTTTTCTTCTTCCAACGAACAATTTTTAAATAAAATTCATTTTTATATAAATTTTAATAAATGTATTATACATAATACATAATAATAATAATGATAATAATTCTTTTTCTTTCTTATTTTAAATTGATTTTTTTTTTATTTATTTATTGATTTATTTTTTTTTTTTTTTTATATTTTTTTTATTGATTTTTTTCTTTTTTTTGTATTTTTTTTTGCATTTTTTTTTATTTTTATTTTTTAAAACATTTTTTAAAATTAATAAAATTTTCTTACATTATTCGACCGAAATTTTTTTTTTATTTTTGGAAAAAAAAACAAAAAATTATTATTATTATCTTTCCCCCCCTT